GCAGTCCTTGTGCTTTGCTTAGATTAGCTTGTTCTAAGTAGGTGCTTTAGACCACTGAGCCATCTCACCAGCCCCATCCCAGAATAAACTTTTTAATTAACCCAGGAGTACCTGGCCCTTTGCAGTGCTTGGCTCCTTGGAGTCCCTTTGGCTCCAAAATCTTTGACTCTGTGGCTGTTCTGAATTCTGAGATAGGAAAGAAAAACATTAAAAAATATATTTTTGAAGGTGTGGGTTTAATGTGGACTCTTTCTACAACTCTTCCAGCTTTTGAGGAAGTCAAATTGTTATATAGCTTTGACAGAGATTAGAAGTGACTCATTTTATTAGTTTATTACTTATAAAGGAGCACAAGTTAGTCCTCTGGGGAAGGTGTTTTTTTTTTTTTTTCCTTTGGCGGTACCGGGGATTGAACTCAGGCCCTTGTGCTTGCCAGGCAAGCACTTATTCTACTGAGCCATTTCCCGAGCCCCTTGGGGAAGGTTTTAAGAGTTAGAAAAATCTTCCTTTTTGTAAATAACTGGCCAACAGGAAGACATTGTATCCTGTACCCCATACCACTTCCTGTTGAATTGTGGGTATTAGTTGCTTTTATAGAAAAAGCAGCTCTGCACTTTTGCAGAACTAGTAGGACCTGAAAGAGAACTTGGGGGCCCTCTGGTTAGAAAGGGGTTTGCTTGTCATGGGAACAGACATTGTAAAGGAACATTCCACACTGGAAGCTGCTTCCTGTGACCCTGGAGAAGCTGGTTTGAGTACCTGCACCCGCACCACTGGTCTCTGAGTGGGCTCGAACCCCCAACCTTTTGCTTAGCAGCTGTTTGTGCTAGCTGATTGCACCTCAGAGACATGAGAGGAGAAGTTGGTCTGAGCTGGGGGATCTACAGGACACCAGCTGGGAGTCCTTACATGTGGGTGATGGGTGAACCAGGCCCTGTGACTCCACCTGAGCCTCTCACAGCCCAGGGTCAAGTTTTCTTTCATAATAAACCAGCAAGTTTTGCCGGCTGCCTTTGTTTCAGAGGCAGTTGGGACAGAGAAAGATGACTTAAAATGGAAATGGGAAGAGAAACCCAGGGCAGCCAGCCAAGGAGATTTTCTTTGTAAAGGGCATGTGAGCAGGAAGCCCATCGTGGGACAAAAGAAGGGAAGGGTTTATTAAAGAAAGGAAAAAGATGACGACAGTGGTAGTGACTTTGGATGCTAATTATAGCATTGACTATTTCAGGCATTTTCATGTGACCAAACAAAATCTTTGTCTTGAAACAAATTTAAAATGTAGCTGAGGAAAAAAAAAATGTAGTTTCGAACTCAGGCAGCCAATTAGAGGAAGAAAGCAAGCTTTGTTGCCTGGGAATAGCTGTCTTGTCTGGCCAAGGCTTGAGGGCTGCCACGGGGGCTGGTGTTTAATACCGAACAGTGCTAGAAGATGTTACAAAGTTTGCTCATTTAGAGACTTGAATGCGCAGTGTCTATTTTGAGCT